CTTCTCCACTGTGAAGGACTCCATACCTCTGGGACTAAAATAAATCATTTCCCTCTAAAAACATTTTTTGGTAAGAATATTTTATCACAGCAACAGAAAAGCAACCAATACAGCTACCCACCTTGTTCTCTGAGACAGGGTCTCTCTCTATCCAGGAGTTTGAGAGGGTAGGCTATGCAAGCTGGATTGCCATTGAGTCTCTGCCCTGCCAGTACTGAGATTGCAATTGTTTGCTACCAAATCAATATTTTCTTTCTTTCTTTCTTTCTTTCTTTCTTTCTTTCTTTCTTTCTTTCTTTTTTCTCCTCCTCCTTCTCCTCTTCCTCTTCCTCCTTCACCTCCTCCTCCTCCTCCTTCTTCTTCCTTACTTTTTTTTTCAAGGCAGGGTTTCTCTATGTAGCTCTGGATGTCTTGGAACTCACTCTGTAGGCCAGGCTGGCCTTGAACTCAGAGAGATTCACCTGCTTCTGTCTCCTGAGTACTAGAATTAAAGGTGTGCACCACCACTGCCTGACTGAACCTAGATTTTCTTACATAGGTTCTGTGGATCAAAGTCATGTTTTCATGCTTGCAAGACCAGCACTTGGCCCACTAAGCCATCTGTTTCTCCACTGGTACTGGACTCCCATCATCTTAAGAAAAGCCTGCCTGTTGGGTTTAATCCCCAGCACTGCATGAAACCAGATATGGTGGTGAATACCTGTAGTCCCAACACTGGAGCAGTGAAGGCACAAAGATCAGAGGTTTAAGTAGTCTTCACCAGCCACATAATGAGTTCGAGGTCAGCCTGGTCTACATCAGATTTTGTCAGAGAGGGGAGGGGTGGAGATGGAAAGAGAGAGGATCAGAGAGAGATAGACTGATTCTTTGTGCATCTACAGCTACAAACTAGAAGCACATATTTGTCCTTACCCAGTGAGTCCAGAGGGGACTAGTATGCTAGACCAGGGTCTGTCTACTGCACCTGGAGGTATACCAGATGTTCTAAGAGGCTGGGGGAGAAGAGATGCAAAGGCTCACAAACCTGTCTTTGTCCTGAACTCTCTTGCTGTCATCATCTTCAAGCTGTCAACCCCAAGAAGAGCTCAGAACCCTTGCCAGGTGCCACAGCCCCTCACTCTGTCCAAGCCACCAGAAGGCCTTGGCTCTCACTGCCTAAACCTTTGCTAAAGACCTGTCAGCAGTTAAATACCTGCTTTTCCCTTGTGTCTTTGAAATGGAATTTTCTCTCTTGACACATGTCTGAGACTCAGAGAGGTGGGAAGACAGAGATGGGACAAAAGCTCCTACGTGCGCATATATGGTGGTTAGGAGGGGACTTACACTCTGTGGTGGAGCACTTTCCTAGCATGTCTGATGCCCTAGGCTAAGTACTGGCACTGCCAGACATTTAAAAAAAAAGAAAAAGAAAGCTGGGCTGTGGTGGTTCACTCCTTTAATTCCAGCATTTGGGAGGCAGAGGCCAGGGTGATCTACAGAGTGAATCCCAGGACAGCCAGGGCTACACAGAGAAACTTTGCCTCAAAAAGAAAAGGAGAGAGAGAGAGAGAGACAGAGAGAGAGAGAGACAGAGAGACAGAGACAGAGAGACAGAGAAAGAGAGACAGAGACAGACAGAGAGACAGAGACAGACAGAGAGACAGAGACAGACAGAGACAGAGGGGGGGGGAGGAAAGAGAAAAATAAAGAGAATGAAGAAAAGGAAGGAAGAAAGATCAGTGACAATAGTCTCTCTCTGCCCTGGTTGGTTCCAGGACCATTCCCCACTGTCTGTTGATGCTTGGGTTCGGTATAGAAAGTGAACAATGTAGGTCTGTGGCTCAGTCATTAAAGTTTTCACTTTGCAAGACTGGGGACATGAGTTCCATCCACAGAACCCAAGTAAAAAGCTGGATATGGTGGTGTGAGTTTACAATCCCAGTGAGGGTCTCTGGGACTCACTGACCAGCTAACTTACCTAGCCTGCTGATTTCCAAGCCTGTGAAAAATCTTGTCTTAAACATCAAGATGGATGGCACTGCGTGGTTGTCCTCTGGCCTCCTCACTCATGCACATGCATGCTTTTTTTTCTTAGTGGCTAATGTTTCTGTAGAGTCTATACACGTCCTCTCATATACTTTAAATTGCTCCTAGATTGCTCATAATCTTGAGTACAATGGGAATGCTATGGAAATAGTTGTATTGTTTAGGAAATAATGATAAGGGAAAAAATGTGGGTTCAGTGCAAACATGACTTTGTTTTGAATGTTTTCCAGTCACAGTTGGCTGGCCCTGCAGAGGCGGAAGCCATGTGTAGCTGGCCCATGCTGCGCATCTGGGGTGAATGGTAAGGTGTGGTGAGGGCTTGCTCCATCCTAGAGTTCTCCACGAACCATCCCACCTAGTAATAGCAACAGCCCTGCAAGGTGGGTGCTGCTTTCCCCATTTTACAGGCTCAATGTATTTTTTTCTGTTGCTGTGATAAGAGATCCCAGCAAAAGAACAGCTTAGGGAAGACAGGGCTTGTTTCGACTCACAGTTCCAGGTCACAGTCCATCACTGCAGGGAAGTCAGGTGCAGGAGCTTGAAGCAGCTGTCACACCCCATCCACAGTCAAGAGCGGGGAGAGACAAAGGCACACACACCTGAGTACCGGGCTTGCTTTCTCTACTCTTATAGAATCCAGGACTCAAACCCAAGGAGATGGCACCACTCAGCATGGGCTGCTGTCTTCCCGCATCCATTAAGCCATTTAAGAAAAAAAGGATCTCCCACAAGCATGCTCATGGGACTTGACCTAGACAGTCCCTCATTGAAATGCTCTCCTCAAGTGATCCTAGATCCTGGCAAGTTGACAATTAAAACTAACTGGCACAGGCTGGCGACATGGCTTAGCCAGTAAAGTCACCTGCCGCTAACCCTGACAACCTGAGTTCGATCCCGGAAACCATAAGATGAAGAGAGAGGAATGACTTCTGCAAGTTGTCCTCTTACCTCCACACACAGCAAGGTCTGAATGTGCATCGCATCACACACACACACACACACACGTAACAAAAATATAACCAGAAAAACTAACCAGCATACTGGCAGGGTAGGACTTTGATGCCATCTGACTGTGGATACACTCCCTATCTCTGCCCAGAGATCTCACCTGTGCCCTCTTCCAGCTCATGTCCCTCCCTCCAAGAGCATGCCCATCATTGGGCTGGCTGAGTCTGGCCTCCTTGCTTTTCTCTGGTGCTGGGGATGCCTCTTCTCTTTCTTGAAGTGTTCCTGGTGGATCCCCAGACATGCATGGAGTGTTAGACTGGTCTCAGGAGGCATCCGAGAGACGGGACAGAAAGGAGTAGATGTCATCATAGCAGTCACTGAGAGACTTATTCTCATCCAGGTACCCACCATTGCGTGGGTTGGACCCCAGTTAGCTTGTGAGAGCAAACAAGAGGGGTGCATTCAGGGTGGTGTGGTATAGGCCCAGGGGTTTTCTGGAAGAAGCACAGCTGACAGAAATTTCTCCTTTTGCCTGGAGAGGTTTTGAGACTGAGTTTTCTGGAGCCCAGGCTGGCTTCAAACATTCTATGTAGCCGAAGACAACCTTTAATCAGTGCCGGGATTACAGATATGAGCTACTTACACCACACAGGGATAGAACACAGCTTCCTGTTTGCCAGGCAAGTCTCTACCCACTGAGCCACATCCCCAGTCTTCTGCTTCATTCCTTCATTGTAGATGTCATCCATCCTCAGCGGTGAGGCCCTGCTGGGCAGAGAGTTCCACCTGCCTCCATCTCAGCTGCAGTCCTGTGCTGAGACTCATGTCTGTCACCAGCAGGCACTCAACAAGCTCTTTAGACGTGAATGAAGGTGGTGAAAGGCTCACTAAGTTAGGTTTGGGGACCTGAGGAAAACACCTGCTGGGACCCCAACTTCAGTGTGGCTGCACAGAACACTTCGTTGTTTTAGACAGGACTCACTTTGTAGCTGAACTGTCCTGACTCCGCCTCCCTAGTGCTGGGATTACAGGTGAGGGCCACTATATCCAGGGATAAAACCTGGGCTTTGCGGGTACCTGGTCTCAAATCCCTGCTCTGTGATTACCATTCCCAGAGCTTTCCCAGGCTCTCTGACTATTTCCAGAAGATTCTCCTTCCCTGTATCCCTGGACCAGCAGCTCCCACTGTGCCTGTTCTGTTTGGTGATTGCAGAGTCATGGCGTTCATCTCGCTAGCATGCCCTGGGACAAGTCCAGTCTTAGCCACCCCAAACCAGAGCAGCATCTGCCCACCCTGAAGACTCATGGAGGCAATAACCAGTCACTGCCCAGGGAGCAGCCACAGCCCCGCCCTCCTCTCATGCCTGCCTCAACCCCATCTGATCCCACACGGCTCCGCCCCTTCTCTCTCTCCATTCCTCAATCCTGGTTCCTGTCTACCCCCTCTTGCCCACCTGCAGGGAACCCAAGCTTGTCTTGGAGACTGGAGGGGCTGAAGATTTTCTCTGAACTTACAGCAGCCCTGGCTTTGCAGATAGGGCCCACCCAGGCCCAGCCCAACAAAGACTTTTCCTTTCACTGGCCCCTGCCCATCTATGTTCAGTCCTGAACAGGCTGGTCTGTAGCCTTCTGAACTCAGCCTGTCACAGACAGGGCACTCAGGGGAGAGGAACTCTTGAAGCTAAGCCACTAGGCAGGGGGCTGACACATTTACTTGTGACAGCTGGTACAGAAATGCTTGCAGAGCTGGGGGTGTTGCTCAGTGGGTAGAGTGCTTGCTCAGAGTGCATACAGGTCTGGATGGGATCCCTAGCATTACCTGAACCAGGTGTGGGAACTCATTCCTCTAACCCCAGCACAGAGGTGTGGAGGCAGGAGAGATGGCTCCATGGTTAAGAGTACTTGTTCTTGCAGAGGACCTGGGTTCAAGTCTCAGCACCCACATGGTCATAACTCCAGTCCCAGGATGTACATGATACACAGATCTACATGTAAGCAAAAATAAATAAATACTAGTCCAAATAAAATAAATCTAAAGAAAATTTTTAATTAAAAAAGTTCAAGACCATGACAGATCAAGTTCAAGGTTACTCTTGGACACGTGAAACACTGTCGGGATAGAGGGACAGAGGGACTGAGGGAGAGAGAGGGGGAGAAAGGAAGAGGTGCTTGTAGCAATCTGCACTAGGGTGGCCTCTGCACTAATTCTGAGACCTCCATACCAGAGCCAGAGCAAGGACTAAAATCCAAGTTGTATCCATCCCTCCTATGTGATCCGCATGTGTCCCCAGTACTGTCAGATGTGATCATGGGTCCCCAGTACTGTCAGATGTGATCATGGGTCCCCAGTACTTTCAGATTAAGACTTGGATATTTCCCAGTGCCCTACCAGCCCCTTCAGGACTGACCCCTGACCATCAGTTACACTCCATTAATGTGCTCCAGTCTCTGGAAGTAGAGGTTCGGGTGATGGAGTTCCCTGAACTAGGGTCACTCATGCTGGGGTGGGCTTTTTCAGTGAGGCAGCTGCTGTGAGTCACCCATGCTCCTGTAAGAAACAAAACAAAACAAAGCATTGGTTTGGCAAGGTGAACTTTAGAATCGTTGCTTCAATCTGTAATCAGTACTGTAAGAGGGGTAAGTAGATACTTGTTTGTGTCTCCCCAGGAAGCTGGACTATCTTAGACATAAGCCCCCATGGAAACACTTACTAGCCAGATTCCCTAAACTATACGAAGCTGGGAGGCTCTTGCTCTCTTGTGGCCGCTGTAAGATGGAAATGACCGAAACCAACTCATACGATTGTTATACACAATAGAAACAACACCACCTGATGTGTGTCAGCCATTGTTATTAAAGTAAAAGTGCTCCAGCATAAACAAAAAGGGTCCAATGTAAATACCTTAGCTGTTATGAGGTGTGTGTGATTGAGTGTGTGCAGACCAGGGTGCTTTTCAGTGGGGCGGGCACTGAAGTACATCATGCAGACCACTGCCAAGCGCAAGTGGGCTGTCCCCGGCTCCCTCCGCCAGAGCTCAGCCCCACCCTCCACCACGAAACTTGGGGCCAGATGGCTCAGCAACAAGGTTCCATTGTTCTTACTTTTTCCACATTCCATGTTTAAGATACTTGAAGTTTCTTGTGCCAAAGGAACACTGTCAACTCTCGGGTCACCACCAGCCTGTGAGGCACAGGGACGTGTGGCGAGGACTTCAAGTTAATGGTGCGTGAAACTCCGTCCTCAGCCAATCACGAGGAAAAGGGGAATGAGGAGACACTGGTATGTAAACAAAAGACTACTTCATCCTTGTGTCTACATTAATATTACTTTTCCCATCCACATATTTATTTGAATTGCATTCCTGCGTATGCACACATGTCATGGCCACAGGTGGAGGTCAGAGGACAACTTGGAGTAATTGCTTTTCCTTCCCACCACATGGGGTCCCGGGGATCGAACCCAAGTCATCAGGCTTAGAAAAACTCTTCTACCCACTAAGCCATCTCGTTGGCCCTTCTGTCTATTCTCCTAGGTGAGTAGAGAATTCCAGGGTATTACCATGGGAACTGCATACTCCATCTTCTCTTAACTGTTCCTGGATCTTGGATTCTGCATCACTCAGTCTTGAGAGGACTGACTACTTAGGGCGTGTGATGGTTAGTTTTAACTATCAACCTGACATAAAGAGTAGGAAGAAATTCTCAATGAGAGGCAGTAAACCTATGGGCATATCTGTGAAGGCTTGTCTAGGTACTATCAATTGATGTGGGAAGACCCAGTCTAACAGCGGGCAGCGTCACTCCCTACGCTTGAGTCCTAGACTGTGTAAAAGAGGAGAAAGCAGAACAGGAAGCAAGTATGCATTCTCTCTCTGCTCTTAACTATGGATGTAACGTGCTGCTTCTAGTTCTTGGGGCCTTGACTTTCCCCCAGTGATGAACTGTAACCTGGAATTATGAGCTAAAATAAATCCTTTAAGTCCCAGCAATCCTCCCATTTACACCCTCAATAGTGCTGGGTTATCAAAACCCTCCTCCAACATTGTACACAGAGCTTAATGGGCTATTCCATTGTGAGCCAGAAGACAAGAAGGTTGAGAGAAAGGGGAGTGGAGGCCTGGCTCATAAGGTTTCACAGGGAAATAGGCCGTACTGGGGACTGGGATAGAGGCCATTCATGTGATATTCCAGCCCCCACCCCAAAACTAAACAAAACAACAAGAAAACACTGGCTTCATTTGGCCCGGGTCCTGAGAACTTGTACAAGGTTGTGTTTAAAGATAATGTTCTAATTTGTTTGGCAGAGGAAATTTTAAGGTGTTCATTCAGACTGCAACATGGCTACTGCTCCCTGCTCCCTGCTCCCTGCTCCCTGCTCCCATCCAGGTCTGCGGTGAAATGGAGCAAAATGTAGGATTGGGGAAAAATGTGAATGTCAGTTTGTTGAGGAAACAAGCAAGGGTTAAGGCTGCAGCTGAGGTGGGTGCTGAGAAAGAGACTGTAACTGTATAGAAAAACCTCAAACTGCACCAAGGCAAGAGGAATGTACCTTCAGGGCCAGTGACCAAGCGCAGAGGCTCCAACTCACAAATATACAAAGTCATTTGAAAGGAGAGCCTAGGCTGAGAATGAAGTTGAAGGCTTCCTCTGAGGAAAACCACCACCTAGGGAAGTGTTTTCCCAGGGTCTGGCGGAAAGAGGAAGACAGCCATCTAAGGAAGTGTTTCCCCAAGGTCTGGCTGGAAAACATAGAAAGACCAGTGCAACTCCGGTCCAGGTCGGGCAGGCCTCATGAAGAGCTGGCAGCATTGTCCAGATGGTAACGATTTTTCAGGAATGAAAGAAGCAAGCTCTGTGGTTCCTGAGAGGCTCTGAGGCTAAGCAATGTGCAACAGAGTCAGAGTCCCTGCAAGGAGGCCCAAAGGGGCCACTGCATGAAGTTATGAAGGTGAGACCTAAGTTACAGTTGAGACCCCAGGACGTTGGCGATACCAGGACCATGGGATGCCCACTAAGAAAAGACGCAGGTATGGAGTGGATCTAGCCCAAGATGGAGAATATATGTGCTCTGGGTGACAAAGCTTGAGGGATGGGGCTGCCTAAGCCCTTTGGAGCCCAGATGATTCCCCTTTGAGCCCCAGATGACAGACATGGAGCTGTAGGACATGGTAATTTCCCTTCTGGTTTCATTCTTGCTTTGGTCTGATCTTTCCTTGCTGTCACCCCCATTCTACCTTTTAGAATGGGAGCCTTGAGTTTCAGCTGAGATTTGGACTTTTAAACAGTGTTGGCGCTGTTAAAGATTGCAGGCACTTTTGAAGCTAGGTGGACATGAATTTATGGGGGCAAGGGGTTGAAGGGTTTAGCTTAAAATGATGTACCTGAGTGTCAAGTTAGCAAAGGGTGACGTTGAGGTGGTTAATATTGCCAACTTGACAGGATCGAGAATCATTCGGAGCAAAGCCTCTGGGCATGCATGTGAGGGATCACAGTGAGCACATGGAGTTCCAGCCTTGATGCTCTCCCAGGGCCCAGGCTTACAACAAGCTGGTAAAGCTTGGCAAAATAGGGATCTGAGGGTGAAGGGAAACAACCAGCTCACACACATTCCTCTCCTGGCTCTTTATTCTTCAATAAAGGGGAGATCTTTTGTCCCACAAGGTTTCCAGTTTATATACCCAATACAGATACAATTAATAACTTTTTGACAATAGCAAGGATTTCAGGCATGCATATCTCTCAGAACCAGGAAGGCAGATAAAATCTTGAGAAAATCAGAAACCTCACATCTCAGCAGGCATGTGACTTGTGAAGCACCTGGGCAAAACTCAAGAGGTGGGGAAGGGGTTAAATGAAGCAAGGGGCTTATTATCACTAAGAAGGGAGAAAAATGCTACTGCATAAAACTACATTTATGTGGTTAACCTAGAAGTCTATAGTTGATAAATGTAAAACAAGTAAGAAACACTGTATGTGTTGGATTTTGCTTTTGATTTCGAGGTAGTTGAAAACACAGTATCACTGTTGTCATGGCGACTTGGATAACTGTGGAAAGAAAATGGGCCCTTAATCTGTATTAGCATTTTTGCCAATTGCTAGTGAATTCTCTCAACACTAGCTCAAATGGAGAAGCTGCTTGAGATCTCAGAGGCTGCAGCTACCAGCTAGCTGAGCCTCGGGCTAAGTGGAGGGGGCCATTGGCATCCCTGACACCCATGTGAGAAAGGATTCCTTTCTCTGGGGCTGGCTAAGTGTTCCAATCAGATGCTTTCTTATGGATCTTAGGAACAAACAGTTGATTTCCTATGCTAAGATCTTCTGTCAATAGAATTGAGGTGGAGGTGAGTACAGAATATTGGTAGTTTGTAAGGCAGAGCAGGGGCCAGTAGGCTGCACTCTCCTGAGTTGGCTTTTAGAGGAATCAGTGTCACCCAGTCCTGCTTGTCAGTGGGGGCAGATGTTTGTGTCTCCTACTCAGTGACTGTCTTTGAAGCTCTGAATGTCGTCTCTTTGCAAGGCTCCTCTCCTTGTGGGATATCCTGCTGTAAGAGATAATCGTAGGGAGCTAGCTTCTAAGTTACCTAGATCTGACTATAAGAACAAAAGGTTTCCTTGACTGTGTGAATGCTTTCACACCAGAGCCCCATCAGATTGGCCCATAAGCCACGTCTGTGGGATGTTTTCTTAATTATTAAAGGTGCAGTGCTATCCCTGGCAAGTGGTCCAAGGTTCTATAATAAAGCAGGCTGAGAAAGTCATGGAGAGCAATCCAGTAAGCAGCATCCCTCATGGCCTCTGTATCGGCTCCTGCCTCCAGGGCTGCCCTGTTTGAGTTCCTGTGCTGGCTTCCTTCAGTGTGCACTGTTGCCTTTGTTCTTGGTGTTTGTCACAGAACCAGAAAGCAAACTAAAGCAGAAGTCATCTCTCAGGACACCGTCCCATTGTTCAGTGAGAAAAGGGCTCACTGGCCTGGAGCTCACTGATTTTCCTAGGCAGTGAACCTCAGAGGTCTGCGGGTCTACACCTCCAGTACTGGGTGCTAGGGACTGAACTCTTGTTTGGGAGGCAAGTACTTCACCAGCTGAACCATCTCCCCAGGCCCTTTTCCTTTCCCTTAGGAGCCTCTTTTCACAGCTGAGATGACTTGGGGCAGTCTTGCTGCACCACTCTCTGAGTACTGCATCAAATATGCTGTGAACTGTGTGGTCTCCCAGTTTGTTGTGTGGAAGCAGGCTTGATGGCTCACCCTGGGTTCCTGCTGGGGCTCCTCCCTCTCCCTTCTCCCCCAACTTCAATGGGTGTGACAGTTGACCTTGACTGTCAACTTGAAGGGGATACAGGGTTCTTTAGGACAGCGGGTCCTTTCTCCATCTACTTGTGCTTGACCCAGGGTCCTAAAGAGACAGACACCCAAAGTTCACCGAAGGTCAGCCTCGGACAGTAGATCTGAAGGTCCTGTTCACACCCTTGAAGATTCAGACAACTCCGAGAAGGGCGGAGATCATCTGTGCTGGGGTCGGTTATTTCTCTGAGCTGCTGTGGGATGGCCAGCAGAGGACCACATGCTTGCTATAGTCCTCCAGGCCCAACTGCACAGCCCCTGTCTGCACTGCCCTGTGAGGTCTGGCTACCTGGTTGTGAGCTCTGGCTACCTGGTTCTTCCGGGACCATCAGCACCATCTCAAGCCAGGGGTCCCAGCCTCCTTCGTCTCTGCTTTGATGCCCTTGAGCTCATAAGCTGAATGGTAGCAAAGGTTACTTCTGTGTCTATGTCTTGGAAATATTGCCTCATTGACATTTTGCCACAAACTGTTGCTTCACATACCTTAACAGGTGATTGGCTAACTTGGTTCCTATTAGTTTGCTCTTCCTTTTTGTCCCCTCCCCTCCCTTCCCCTTCCCTTCCTTTTCCCTTTCTCCCCCTACCCATCTCTGTCTCTGTCTCTCTTGTATCCTAGAATGGCCTTGAACTTCCAATCCTCTTACTGCCATCTCCTGAGTGTTGGGATCACAGGTACACAGCGATGCCTGGAGCTGGGAATCAAAGCTAGAACTTTGTGCATAGTAGGTAAGTGCTCCTCCAGTGGAGGTACACCTCAGCCCCCACTTACACCATCCATCCCCAGGCAGAAGACCCAGTGACCATGCACAGCTCTGCCTGGATCTTCCCGTGGGTTCTGGAGGACTGGACTCAAGTTCTCGTGTCTGCACAAGCACATTACTGGCTGCGTCATCTCCTGAGTCCCTTATTGACACTCTTCAAGGGGGTTTCACATG